GAAAAATTGATGCATATTCTTGCTATGTTGTTTTGTTTTAGTATGTACAAGTATCCAATGGTCAAGGAGGTCACCAAATGGTGTTCTTAGATCATTTTAATGCATCTTTATATCCTAACAAATCATAATAAATCTTATTTTTAATAGGCTGGCATATTGAACTAGTACAATTCAGGATGGACATCCTCCTCTCTTTTACATGAAGGCGAGGAGATTTAGTGGTTATGATTTAACAATATAATTAAAAAACTTGTGAAATGTAAAATCAAACTACTTATGATTTAAAATTTAGGGATGACTATTATGGAAGTACATGTGAAGAAACTTTGAGGTAAATCATTTTGCTACTTTCATAGGTTGGTGTTACATTAAATTTCTTCACCGTGGATTTCTCTAAAGATGGATGATCAATTTTTACTTCATAATCACCATTGAAGAGTGAAGTCTCAAAGAACCCATTGTCTAACGTAGTTCCTACCAAACCTTCATGCCTCATTGCGCTCGTGAACCCATCTATAGCATCCCCCGTTGGTAAGTTTTTAAAGTTGTTATCTGTTAAGCACATTCTATAACATCCATTTGGTTTCCATGCTGACCACAATATTATACCTTGAATTGCCGGATGAGAAACCATCTCGTTTATAATTTGTCTTAAGTATTGTGCCTGCCACATTACATAATAGAATCACACAATTACTATGAGTATGGGACAATTGTGACTCTACCATGTAATCCTTTCCTAAAACAAGGTGATGTCTAAAAATCAAAGTACATAGTCTAAAAAATCGATTTTGTATTTAAATAGCAGTACCTGATTAGGGCGTGGCGAAACATCTAACTCTGTAATCCAAATTGGTAGTTTTGCGCTAGAAAGTGTATCAATAGCAGACCTAATATATGCCAAGTCAGGAGTATCAAAATGGGATTCAAGCCCAATACCCAAAGGGCCCTTATATCCTTGTGATCGAAGTTGCGCTATCTTAGCAAGGTATTTGCTTGGTGAAGATGCTTGATCTCCCTTATGTTCAATTGTGTTGTAATCGTTCAAGAACAACGTTGTCTTTTCATCCAATGAGTTGACCAATTGATAATAAGTTGCGGAAGATTTGGGACCAAGTTTATCTTCGAAGAACGAAAAATGAAGGTTTTCATTCATAACATCCCAATGTATTACTTGCGCAGCATATCTCTTTACGAGTGAAGTAATCCTTTTATAAACAGAGCTTGATAATTGACTGGCTGCTAAGTTTGGAACCCAAGAAGGTTGAAATCGAGGATCTTCCCATAATATGTTATGGCCACGCACCTTGATACCTCGACTTTTAACCAGTTGAAGCAATGCGTCTGTTACAAAATAGTCTTCACGGCCTTGAGATGGCTCATTAGTGTACCATTTCATTTCATCTTCAAATGAAGTGTGCGTAAACCTTGAGAAAAACCATTTTTGGTATGCACTGTTATTTAAGATATTCTTGTTGATAGCACAACCAAACGGAAAATCTGGTCTTCCACTAAGAACAGTAATTGTTGCATTTGGCAGCGGTTTTCCTTGAACATCCATTACTTGAATTGCAACCTTTGTTTTACGTATCTACACATTTGGATCTAATGTTACAGATTTCTTGTTTCCAAATAGAAATAGTGTAGTAGTGGTATGGGACTACTACATGATGATAACCATACACATTTAATATAATACAATACAAATATGCAATATTCCTGATTGATAATGACTTAGTAAATAATTTATACCATGTATCTGTTTTAATATATTATTCAACATTTTAGTAAAAAATGTACGTATTTGCGTGATAATCACTTTAACACATAATCATATCTCAAAATAATTATAGAACAAGCAAAACACAATTGAGTTGACCAATGACGGTGAAAGTAATTGTCTACTCAATAGTAGTAGATTTAAATATTCACTTAAATCTTTAATGTTATAATATATAAATAAATTTAAATACATTGATTTTATACTTTGGTGGAATTCTATTTTAAAAACTGTTCGAATCCAATTCGATTTCAACTCAATCTCTCCAATTGTTTTAACACTCGTTCTGACTTTTATTGTCGGTTACTAAATAATAACTAATTACTATTAGGGAAATACAATCAACCTGACCTCACCCTAGGAACCGAGCTCATAAGACTTTTGTAATCTCACATACGCATTCATTGTTTAAAGATTCAATTTGATGATTTGACTTTGTATTACACAATGAAATGTACCGAGAGATTTTACAAATAAAATGCAGCTCACTTCACTCTTTCTATTTATGACTACATCATTTATCCCACATACTTAATATGTCTTATTTTTCAAAAGAAGCTCTTCACTATGTCACTCATATTCATCGTGAGACATCTTTGGGTTCAACTCTCTCCCAAAAGGCTCGCACCCTCTGAAGAGCTCTTTTTAAGGTTGTCTAATGTCTATAAATGATGAGTATCACCCCTATTCACACCAATTTTAAATGAAAGAAACTAGCATTTTCTAGATTTTTCTATTCCCTTTATGCTTCTAAAGTCTTTCAAGAAGTACGCGCCCACAAGTTTCTATAATTTTGTGCAACAAGTATGCATGACACCACATTTCTTAATAATGTTTTAGCGACTTCCACACACTTATACGATTCTAGATAATTTCACAGTTGAAAATTGCATAATGTTCAACAATGTTTCTAATTTATTCTTCACTTCTCTATATAATTTAGAACAACTAACACTTTCCTACACAAATTTGGAAAGTTATAGTTATCTCAATCATATTTTAGAATTATTTTGAACGTCTCAAATAAAGAGAAACCATACCTAATAATAACCTGGATTAATACTAATTAATTAATACTTGTGTTGTTTTAACCAACCAAAATGAGTTAACGCGTCACATATAAAGCACTTAGATATTATTATATTATTACTGATATATTTATAGCATCTATTTCTTAAGAACCTATTTTTACTTTGCCACTATAACACAATTCAACTACCTTCGCAATACTCTTGTGCTGATGTGATGCCCATTGCTCTGTGGTGAATGGTTTCAATGATATGCTATCACCCCAAATCTCAGTTTGAGTATTGTTGCTCTGTGGAACCAAAAGTAGTATAGTAATTAATTAAAAATTTAAAATAAATTTAAAGTTTGGTACTAAACCAAAACCAAAATGAAGTGCATACAATTTTAAATACCTACCTGAAAATATAATTGGTAAGTACCAGATACATTAGCAATAAAACCACCCTTAAACATTGACCAACAATCAGATCTAGCGATTACCCATGCCACATGATCATAACCACTCGGTGTTTTTAACATGACCGATACATCACTTTCACCATCACTTAACTTTATCCAACCTACAATAAAAATATTCTATCAACATAGATGCGTAAAACTTATAAACAACTTACAAGTCTTATAAATTTAGAATGATATAGTTGAACTTGCAGTCTACACGCGTAAAAAGTATCGACATATATCCCATATTCCAATGTCATTGATGTGATTTGCATGTCATCATTTGAATTTGTATGTCTTAATAGTAGGTGCAAACTATATGCATGCCCCGCAAGGACACCCACCATCTATAGATATATAGTAGGAGCAGTGGCGGAACCAGCCTTTGGATGTTGGAGGGGCTATCACATACTCCCTCCGTCCCGCAAAATAGTTTCCCGTTTCGTTTTTGGTCCGTCCCAAAAAATAGTTCACATTTCCCTTTTTGGAAAGTTTTGTGTGGTTACCATTCATTTACTTTTTTCTTACAAAACCACAATCATGCATTTCCACGTTATTCTCACTTTCTTAAACTCTGATACAAATCCTAGTGGGAACTATTTTATGGGACGAAGAGAGTAAATTATTCTACTTATGCTTCAAATTGTTTTGTAAAGTTAACATTTTTTGTAAAGCAATGTTAAAGTTAAATCCTCCCTATTGATAAACAATTCAAATTTAATAATTAAAATGTACATATTCAAATTGTGACTGTTCTTATTACCACGTTGACTGTTCTCATTGACTGTTCTTATTACTACGTAAAGGATGATTCTAATTGTAGGCTCCGTTTTGCTAAATACAACCTCATATTAAAATTATTATTAAATAATATAATTAAACTTACTTATTTGCCCTTTAATTTGGAACCCCTCAATCCCATCGTCACTTTCAACAGATCTGAAGACCCGAATGCTAGTGTACAACGGCGCAACAACCACATAGTATAAGGTTTGAGGGGAAATCATCAATAAACCTCCCTTTAATTCCCTTTTCATCACCTAACAATTGCGTAGTATTATTTTTATACCTTTTAATTAAATTCCCACCACAATTTCAATTAGTGCTTTCCGGAAAGTTGTATGTCATGCAAATGCAATGCAAAATAAGAATTGGGCTGGCCACTGCAGGGGTGGATCTTTGGTTTGAGCTGCAGGGGCTGGATGTATGTTTATTAATAATCATATTATATATATATATGTATATACTTCGTATAATATAAAAAAAAGCAGCAAGGCCGCCTGGGCACAAGCACCCCCAGGCCATATAGTGGTTCCGCCACTGAGTAGGAGAGATTAAAATGTAAGCTATATAAGATCCAAAACTATTATTCAAATACGGCTAACATTTTTTCTTCATACACATAATATATTTATGAAAAATGTCTTGCTTGTTGAAGTATTTGTTCACACACATATCATGTGTAGTCAACTAATATATAAGATCGTGAGTTAATTTTCGCGTGTGAGATTAACTATTTGAACCTCAAATCTTAAATTAGTATGATAGTGCTGACTAGTTGTTCGGTACCTATGTTTAATTTTTTTGAATTCTGTTTGACCAATTTTATATCCTAAGATGTTCATCCAAACATTCTAGATTATTTTCCATATCAGATTACTCATCTAAAATAGAACTATAACTTAATATTGTTTAATCAAAATATTAGAACGTAGGGGCATGTAATGCCGCTGAAATGTAGGGGTGTGTACAAATGTAATTTTCTGAAGTAATTGTCTTTCTGAAAGTTGCCGCTGAATATTGTTCGGTACCTGAAAGTATATAGTGATTGTCTTTCTTTAACTCAATCTTTTGAGAAAAACTATCAAATGGTTCTTCTCGATTTGAAGCAATGATAAAGTTGTTTCCTTCCTTGGAAATTCCGGTGGTGAGGTTGACATGATCATTTCTGAAACTGTACCACCCATTCAATCCGTCATTGAACTCTGAGTTCACCAACAATCCTCCATTGTATTGTGGTTTCATAGGAATTTTCATGCACTGTATGATCGGTGTTATTAGTGTCAGCATTATTCCCCTAAATGACCTATTAATTATTATTACACTTAAATCGGACACCAGAAAGTAAATTACCTCATTAAAGAAGCTGTAATCATAGTCCTCTGCACAAACTTGAATTCCTACTAAGTATTCAAATAAAACTAAGTATTCAAATAAAAGAATCATTGAAATATTTGATTAAAAAGTAAAACAATGATAAATAGCACTAATGAGTGTTCAAAGTGGTAATTTAATATTTGAACATACATGTAAAAACAATGTGCAATTTTAAAAAGTGATGCACGTTCTATAGGATATACAAATTCAAAGCATTAGCAATATGATTTCAAAAATGTATGTTATAATTATTTGTACCAATAACACCTTGCAAGCCTGCATGATTAAATTATTTTCTTTGCGTCGATAGTACTAAATTGAAATAGTTTCCAATTATTTCATGATTAAATCTAGACGAGAAAAGTTTACTTTTTCGAACTAAGTTACATTTTTCACAACGTGACCACATCAAATTTAACAAAATTTAACAATGATTTTCTAAAATCTTTTAAATGATTACACAAACTCTTCAAAAGAACAAAATAACAAATAAAAATGCTAAGAAACAATATAAGATATCATATTATGTATCACTTTAATTTGAATTAAAATGAAAACATCCACCTAAATTGAGAATTATGAAGTCTAAGGCTCATACAAAATCAAATGTTGAGGGATATGTGTGAAAATAAATATAATACAAAATGTTCTTTTAAAAAATTGATACACTTGCCTGTAGCAACGATTGCAATGACTATGGTGCATACAACAGTTGTTTGCTGTTTTCTTCGCATAGATAATTCCATGCTTAATAGTTTAACAACCGGCCTAAGCTACACAGATAAATTGATGATAATTAAAATCACCACTGGCTAAACCAATTAACGAGAGCCAATTAAGTTTACAAACCAACACACACACACATATAAATGTAAACACTTACGACAATAATGAATTAACTAAGGAGATTTTCAAGTTAAGGTAAACAAAATGACACAAATAAATTCAACAATTAAACATGGGATTTAGGACTTACCATAAGTAAATAATTGATATAAAAAACAAGTAGCATGTTATTGTGTTTTTCGAGAGGAGTACCTAGCTAAGTAGCTAGTTATTTAGCTAATGAGGCAATTGAAGATTGGAAGGTAAACTGGTGGACGTGAAATTGTCCCTCATCATAATCATACTATATGATGTGAAAATATTTATAATTCCACAACCACGATTTCACTATATTATTATTACCTCTGACTTTTACAATATATGCGATAGGGGTCAGCTTGATTTTTCTACCAAAATTAAATACTTCGTACATAACTAAAGTAAAAAAGACCGTCTCGGTTTGACTTCATTTTGGATTTTAAAACATGAAATCATTGTTTCAATAGTTCAGTATATTTAGTTTTGGTTTTCTTTGTAGAAAATATTGTCATTTGATTAAAATAATACAATGGTACAAGGAAAAATCAAGCCTATAACATCAATAAAATAATTCAAACATACTAGAAAAGTATAAATTAAAAAGACAATGCATAAATATATTTTGAATCTTACGTTAGAGAACAAATACTTTTTTAGTTTTTTTAACAACAAAATGTAGAGTAAAATTGTGTATAGTCTATAAAAAAGGAGATCCATTAATATATACTCCCTTCGTTTCTGAAACAAGTTCCACCTTTCCTTTTCGGGCAGATTCAAAATTAAATTTCACTTTCAAACATTTCCTTATTATCTACATCAAAACAGTGTTAAACAGTGTCAAACAATGCCAAACAGTGTTCAAACAGTGTCAAACAGTGCACTTCACAGTAAAGTCAATTTTATTTTCTTAATATGTGTGAAGTCAAATGTGGAACTTGTTTAGGAATTGGAGGGAGTATGTATTAGTTATATGTGGCATAATTGAGATGAATCTCTATTAGATATCTCAAATTAAAAACTTTAGGATACAAAAAACAATAGGATACATAATTGAAGAGTGAGTTGAACCCGCCTCGTGGTCTCCCTTCTTCTTTCTTTCTCACCGCCGTGACCCCACAAGTCAACTTCTTTTTATCATTTTCTTTATTTTTCTCTGATCGGACATCCCTGATCTCCCTTCTTCCACCCCATTGTTTTCCTTCATTTTTCTTTGAGTAACGTCGCGATAAGGGAAGCAGAAGAACCAGCTGATAAGGAGGGAGACTTGGGGAGGTAGCAGCTCTTCATCTTCCTCAACGGCGACGGAGCTCGTCGCCGGCCTCGACGTAGAGTGGCGACCGAGTTTCTCAAGTGACCAGAACCTAGTAGCTAACTAGCTACTCTGTAATTTCTCTGTTGGCGACCGACGCCTCGTCTTCCAACTTCTCTACTGCGAGCCAGAGGCCCGACCGGCGAGAAGATATCTGGGGTCGGAGATGGTGAAAGCTAAGAAGGGTAACGATGGGAAGTAGCCACTCCTGATCCCATGTTAACATGTTATTTACATTTTTGTTTAGTACAAGAACAACCAAAAATGACTTTTAGCTATTGCTTCCCCTTCAAACATTGACCTATATCATTTTATAAAAAGTTTATCAATAAACTTTTCAAAACTACTTGAATTTTATATTTATTCCTTGGGTTAGTATAAATATTCCAAAATTTCTTGTTGATATTTGAAATATCTGACTTTATATGAGTATAATTAGATTTATGTAATACTTTTGTAAAAAAAAATATCCTTTTAAAAAATAAATAACCTACTTGTAACGCTATTTGAAAAGAGAAAAAAAATATTATTTTCTTGATAAGTTAGTAACTTATATATATACTCCGTATGTTATTAATTTATCTTCCTCTACATGTTTAGCTATATTTCTATTTAAACCTTTTTATTCTAAAATAAAAGGGAAAACGTATTAAATCGAAATAAACTCATTTAATAAATGTAGTCTATTATTTTGTTTAGGCACTAACAAATCAGTTATACAAATGAATAAATGTCGATATTTAAGTTGATGTGTATATGTATGTGTGCACTTGTGTGTGAATTATATATAGGTACAAATAAAGTGTCACTTTATGCAAATGGGAATAATATTATATATGGAGTAGTAATTTGAGATCAAATTACCATAAATATACCCCAAAACTATACAGATAATGAATCTTCCCAATTAGCGGTTCAAATTTTTTTTAGCCCCTGCTCAAATTTTGTTCTGGTTCCGCCACTAACTACCATAATGTAATTTGTCATCCCTCTATCTCTTAAAACATTGTCAACTTTTCTGGTTGTGTTATTGATTTTGTCACTTTTTCTTTTTCTGTTATTACCTCCTTCATTCCTCTATTATCGTCTCAATTCCTATTTACTTGTTCAACTCAAATCAATCTTAATCACTTACTTTATATATCAAATTTTTATAAAATTTGATTTAGGTTTTTGCGATTTTGTAAAGCTTTTAATGTAGTTTCCGAATATGTAATTTTTTTCTAAAAATAATTTGAATGCGGATAGAGATTTGTTTTGCTTATCTTCATTCAAGCATACTAGGCTTTGTTTGCAAACACTACTCACAAGTGCTTCTGAACTTTTAAGTTCACACTTTCATTGTAGGAAACAAAACAGTGCCAAACAGTGTCCAAACAGTGTCAAATAGTGCACTCCACAGTAAAATCAAATTTATTTTCTTAATATGCGTAAAGCCAAACTGGGAACTTTTAATAAGTACTAGAGGCGGTATTAGTTTTTTAATAGACTAATAGTCATGGTAACTAAATTGGCTGTTATTTTTCACAATAAGACGACCTGTACGATTATCCCTAGTTCCCTACCTCAGCTACAGTTTCCTCCGCTCGTGGCAAGAGCTAAGAGAAGGCAAAAAAGTGCCAACGAAGAAGCATAAGTCATAAGCAGGCTTCTATAGCTAAATAACAATAAAGCAGGATAGCATTTTGCCCCTACTTGCTTGAAATTTAGGGTAAAGAGCTCACGGGATCTACATAAGGAAAATCCAATTCTTGTTTGTAGTATGCACTGTGAAGGGAGAAGTCCCTCCTCAAGAACATAGCAGAATTTCCAGCTGAAGAAAAGCAGAGATGACAATGGAGGAGAAGGCAAAAATGAAGTCATTATTGATACTATATGCTTCGCAGACCGGAAATGCAATTGACGCGGCCGAAAGATTGGGCCGCGAAGCTGAGCGTCGAGGCTGGCCTGCACTAGTATTATCAGTTGACGAAATTGATCCCGTAAGAACTAACCCTTTCCTCTTTTTTGTCCTATGAAATCCCCTTTGGCTTTGTGAAATACGGGGTAAATTTTACCTCGCTGTCATAGATATGTAAGGTTAGTATAATAATTGATATAAATTTGTTTACCCGGGAAAGAGGAATTTATATAGGTACATCCGTCAATTGAAATTTGAGAAGTTTATTTATGTCTAAAATTGTTGAATTTAAACTTTAATTTAAATATTGTGAAAAATATTTCAGACTTCTCTGCCTAATGAGGACTTGGTGATTTTTGTTGTGTCAACTACTGGTCAAGGAGACACTCCAGACTCCATGAAGGTAGTCCTTTTCTCCAAATTTAGATATATTGCACTTGTTTCTATAAAAACACTATTATTCAACTGTGCTTTCTGCACTTTTTTGTTTTTACGAGTGAGGCTGTATTTTTCGGGTTCTTTTTCAGGTGTTCTGGAGATTCTTGTTGCAACGTAATCTTAGCCAAAGTTGGCTTAAAGGAGTTAAGTATGCCGTGTTTGGATTGGGTGATTCTAGCTATCAGAAATATAATGTAATGACCTCTAGAGTTTGTGAAGTTATTATGGCTATGCCTTCATACTTTTAAACTCGGGTGTAAAATGTTCCAAATTCTTTGATGCAGTATGTTGCGAAGAAGCTTGATAAGAGACTCTTGGATCTCGGGGCCATTCCGGTTATTGAAAAAGGCCTGGGAGATGACCAACACCGTTCCGGGTATGTTTGCACTTTAACATGCTTTGGTTTCTCAGAAATTTTATTGATGCTTTAACCAACTATTTGCATTTTTGTAAATAAATCTGATATTCCTTTGATACTAATATACTTACATGATTGGATCACTTGGAAAATGACATGGAAAACGAAAAAATCAAATAGTCTGTTTGGAATGTGGGAAATGCTAGGAAGAGATAATATGTGGGAAAATATAGGAAGAATCTGGAAGGGAACATTGGTTCAAACACCATACAGTTACAATAAATTTATTTTTAATATTTTTAAAAAGATTCATATTTATTTATATTGCATAAATACGAGGAGAACTAAAGTATGTTAAAAGCTACAAGTATTGATATGTTTAATTTGGTTTACATTTTTCAAAGCTAAACCAACAGAAGAAGATAACTTTCCTTCACATTTTCCTTCCCTTGATTTTCTGGAATGCAAACATATCCCAAGGAATTGGTCTCTCAGTGTTTGTTTTACCTAGGAAAATATGTATGAAAACTGAATTTGATCAAATATTTCAAAGTATTAGAAGTTTATATTTTTATATATCTTTGTCTTTATTTAATTGAAATGTTAATCAAAATGAGTTTGAAAAAAACATCTAATACTGATATGTTGAGTCTGAATCAATTTTTTTTAATACCCCCCTACCTTTTCTTCCAAATTTATTCTCTATTGTTCTCGCTGTTTTCTTTCCCTAGCATTTTCCTAGTTCCAAACTGACCGTATGAATTTTAATTATCACATGTACTTCTCAAATCTAGTTGCAAAAGAATAGGATCTTATAGCTCTCTAATTGTACATGTAGGTATGAAGGGGCTCT